AGTGGGCTGTGCAGGGGAGAAGCAGCCAGCACCCAGTGAGAGGATCCAGTGACAGGCGAGCTCCAGCAAATAACTTCTCGCCAATCCCCCCCTACTTGCAGCAGTGAAGACAGGGAAGAAATGTGACAGTGTCCAGCAGGGAGGATTCATCTTCAGGATGGCAGAACGGAGGATCAGTAAATGCAATCATATACAATAAATAAAATATAGTGCTGTTGCGCTTAGGAATAGATATTTCATGCAACTTTGATAAGTATACGCTGCAGTCATAATTTGTGAACCAATAACACAAAAACAAACAAAATACCATGTGGACCGCGCATAAATGGAAGTGCATTCAATTTGACAATACATGAGTGGTATTGCTTCACATATACAAAGTGAATAATTGTAACATTCAGTCCCAATTCAGAAAAATAAAGTGCCCAGGTGTTGAATACTAATTGGTGAACTTCGCGCAAAAATGACAGGTGCTCTGTGCTCAATTGGTTCCCCACATGGATGTGCACTCACCGTGAGCCGTGGACCACCTGGTTAGGGACTAGCCCAATACGTGATGGCAAGAATGACACCAATATGCATTTCCCGGGAATCATGCAATCTTGCCGATAGTAACCAATAGGATGATGACCAACGTGGATATAAATGACAGTATAGTTTTCAAAAGAGCCTTTTTAAACTTTCTCCTCTCCTCCCAGGCAGTAAACCAAGTTTCAGCATGTGAACAGAAACAAAAGCAAACATCCCATAGCGTAAAACCATAAAAAACTTTAATGATGGGGAGAAATTATAACAATAAAACTCACAAGCAAAGTGCCCATAATCTGGCACTCAGTGTATTCAGCCTTGCTGCCTGTGAATAGGAACCAAGATGGCCGCAGCGTTCCAAATGGTGGAAATGACGTCTGCAGAAGTTGCATCATCAAACCTCCATTTTTGAGGTTTGATGACGCAACTTCTGCTGATGTAATTTCCGTCCTTAGGAACGCATGCTGGAACGCTGCGGCCATCTTGTTTGGATGAACTTCACCAAATAGTATTCAACACCTGGGCACTTTATTTTTCCGAATTGGGACTTAATGTTACAATTATTCACTTTGTATAGCTGAAGCAATATTACGAATTTATTGTCAAATTTAATGCACTTAATTTATGCGCGGTCCACATGGTATTTTGTTAATCACATCCAATACCCAATTTTTTAAAATATAAGAATGGGGTTGCTTCAAGTAAATAGACACAAACTTTCATATAAAAGGAAAAGAGATAAAACAGGCACATAACCCTAATTCCAGTTAAATAACACTGTCCTATAGTCAATGAGGCTTCCTAATGTACATGAAATAAATTGCAAAAACGCACTGTATGGAAGCCCTGCTAATTAGCCAATTGGCCATGGGTACACCTATGAAACCAGCATCTCTTGTAAGGGGAAAATATCAAGTGCTGCTAGATTACCAGAGGAGGAAGCTCCGGGATCATGTAAACAAAAAGACAGAGAAATCCGGCACAAAAAGATCATAGTGCAGAAAGTAACTATTTTTTTTTTTTTTTAATTATGTATATGCACTCAAAAACCTGGTGAAGGAGAGAACATGTATTGTGGTATACTGGCAGCTGATGTGAGCACAGGTCTGCCCCAAGGCTCAGGAGTGCTGGGGAAGTCCAGCCTAGCTGGATGGGATGCACAGTGCAGCTCTAGGATGGCTCTGCTGACTCCGTGCCCAGGGAGGAAAAACTGCCAATGTCAGTGCCTACACATCTCCTGGATAGCTGGGAAAGCCGATAGTGCGGAATGCTGGTTTGGAGAGATGCATGTTTCGGGAGGAATTCCTCTTTCATCAGTATCACCAAGAATTACCCATGACATGTTTTTAATGCCAACTGTGCAGACACTTCCAATCAATATAATCCAGACAGCACGTTCGTTAGAACAGATTTTTGGGTGTCTGAGCTCAAGAAATAGGACAGTCTTACATGAAAAAGTATTCATACCCTTTGAAATTTTCCACATTTTTTCATGTTACAACCAAAATTGTAAATGGATTTTATTGGGATTTTATGTGATAGACCAACACAAAGTGGCACATAATTGTGAAGTGAAAGGAAAATGATAAATGACTTTCAAAATGTTTTACAAATAAATACCGGTATGTGAAAAAAGTGTGGCGTGCATTTGTATTCAGCCCCTCTGAGTCAATACTTTATAGAACCACCTTTCGCTGCAATTACAGCTGCAAGTCATTTTGGGTATTTCTCTACCAGCTTTGCTAGAGAGTGACATTTCTGTCCATTCTTCTTTGCAAAAAAGCTCAAGCTCTGTCAGATTGGATGGAGAGTGTCTGTGAACAGTAATTTTCAAGTCTTGCCACAGATTCTCAATTGGATTTAGGTCTGGACCTTGACTGGGCCATTCTAACACATGAATATGCTTTGATCTAAACCATTCCATTGTAGCTCTGGCTGAATGTTTAGGGCCATTGTCCTGCTGGAAGGTGAACCTCCACCCCAGTCTCAAGTCTTTTGCAGACTAACAGGTTTTCTTCTAAGATTGCCCTGTATTTGGCTCCATCCATCTTCCCATCAACTCTAACCAGCTTCCCTGTCCTTGCTGAAGAAAAGCATTCCCACATGATGCTGCCACCACTATGTTTCACACTGGGGGTGGTGTGTTCAGGGTGATGTGCAGAGTTAGCTTTTTGCCACACATAGTGTTTTGCTTTTAGGCCAAAAAATTAAATTTTGGTCTCATCTGACCAGAGCACCTTCTTCCACGTCCCCCACATGGCTTCTCACAAACTGCAAACGGAAATTCTTATGGCTTTCTTTCAACAATGGCTGTCTTCTTGCCACTGTTCCATAAAGCCCAGATATGTGGAGCACACAACTAATAGTTGTCCTGTGAACAGATTCTCCTACCTGAGCTGTGGATCTCTGCAGCTCCTCCAGAGTTACCATGGGCCTCTTGGCTGCTTCTCTGAATAATTCCATCCTTGCCCGGAATGTCAGTTTAGGTGGTCTGCTATGTCTCGGTAGGTTTGCAGCTATGCCATACTTTATCTATTTTCGGATGATGGATTGAACAGTGCTGCATGAGATGTTCAAAGCTTGGGATTTGTTTTTATAAAACTTAACCTGGCTTTAAACTTCTCCACAACTTTATGCCTGACCTGTCTGGTGTGTTCCTTGGCTTTCATGATGCTCTTTGTTCACTAATGTTCTCTAACAAACCTCTGAGGGCTTCACAGAACAGCTGTATTTATACAGAGAATAAATTACACACAGGTGAACTCTATTTACTAATTAGACGACTTCTGAAGGCAATTGGTTCCACTAGATTTTAAGATAGGGGTACAGAGTAAAGGGGGCTGAATACAAATGCACGCCAAACTGTTCAGATATTTATTTGTAAAAAAAGATTGAAAAACATTTTTAATTTTCCTTCCAGTTCACAATTATGTGCCCCTTTGCGTTGGTCTATTACATAAAATCCCAATAAAATAAATTTACGTTTTTGGTTGTAACATGACAAAATGTGGCAAATTTCAAGGGGTATGAATACTTTTTCAAGGCACTGTATGCTAGGTGAATATAAATTATTAAAAAATAATCAGAGTTAAACGGCATTATTAAAACAAAACAGGAAAATTAAATCTGAGATTATCGAAAAAAAATGTCTGTTTGTTACAGATTATTATTTTACCAGCTGCACACTCAGTGAGCTGTGACAGCCTAAACAGAGAGGCAGCTGCTCCTCCAGTAATTTTCAGTTTGCAAACAGACTTAACAAATAATAGGCAATTATAAAACCAGTGTACCTGCCAGAGAAAACATAGGAATATGGCTATTTATAGTTTTGTTGCACTATGACAGTTTATCGCAAAGCTTACAGAATAAGTTCCAGGAGATTTTTTACACAAAAAAAAAAAAAAATCTGGAAAAGTCAATATAGTTTGCAGTTACATTTCCATGCCACTGCCTGGCCTGTCTTGGCCAGATAACGTGTTCTGGTTTTTTTTTTTTTTTTTGTTTTGTTTTTTTAGGTGAAACAAAGCTAGACAACCTCAGCATAGAAGAAAAATAGCAGTGCACTTCCCTACTTATGACTGTGCCGAGGCACTCATATGCATGAAGCCTCTCCTAGATTGTAAGCTCCAAGGAGCAGGGCCCTCCTATCCCTCTTGTATTGAACTGTATTGTTGTATTGTCTCCCTTTATATTGTAAAGCGCTGAGCAAACTGTTGGCGCTATATAAATCCTGTATAATAATAACAATAAATAATAATTATAGCTGTATACCTCTGCAGTGAGCTCATCTGAGGTACTGCTGCCCCTGCTTGATGTAGATTTGGAAATGCATTTCCTGTGCTGTGCATTGTTCACAGTGATTGCTGAAGAGAAAGTTGTACCGGAGACCTTAGAGTCTCCTACCAGTTTTCAGATCACCATGTGACAAAACAGTCAGACCACTGCTGTCTTTCACCACCTTGTGACAAACGGCTGGACAACCTCACACCTCGCTGCTAGGGGACTGTTGCCATATTCCTCTTTATATAGTAATAAATAAAAAAAATAAAAAAATGTATGCACCGACTTATCTCTATGGACTGTTTCCACAAAGGCACAATCTTTCAGTGGAGAGCTAATTCCTAACACTGCACTAAGCAGAACTACGTGACAAACGCATTTCAGACCACAGCCTTTTTTCACCAACCTGTGACAAATGGCTGGTCAACCCCATAACGTGCTATCACTGATACATGGCAATGACACTCTCAGCCTCATCCTGCACAAAGATTTTCCAGCTTGTGGGACCACAATCTAAGTGTCAAAAGGCTGGGAGCAATTGTCACTGGGTTTAGTTAAAGCAATTACCGTATTTTTTGCTCCATACGACGCACTTTTTTCATTCCAAATAATGGCGGAAATTGTCTGTGCGTCTTATGGAGCGAATATGGAGCGGCCGCCGGCCCAAATTCGGGTACCCGCCCCCCCCCAAGGTCCGTAGTCTCTGGTCATCTCCTGTAGTATAGGAAGAAGGGTCAGCCGCACCGTAGTCCGGAGGATAGATGAATATAGTGTATATTTATTGATCCATAGGACACACAAAGCACCAGGACATGAATACAAGACCTGTTAAACACATTTCACACAATCTCGTGCTTTATCATTGTTATGATTAAGCACGAGATCGTGTGAAACGCGTTAACAGGTCTTGTATTCATGTCCTGGTGTTTTGTGTGTCCTATGGATCAATAAATATACACTATATTCATCTATCCTCCAGTGTGCGGCTGACTCTTCTTCCTATTGCATTGTGTGTGGTGGCGAGCCAGAGCCTGCACCTGTTGTGGATTGATCTGGATTGTTTGCCTGAGCGGTATACCTTTTGTTCTTTGCATCTCCTGTACCATGTCCGCAGTCTCTGGTCATCTCCTGTACCATGTCCGCAGTCTCTGACCATCTCTTGTACCATGTCCGCAGTCTCTGGTCATCTCCTGTACCATGTCCGCAGTCTCTGGTCATCTCCTGTATTATGTCCGCAGTCTCTGACCATCTCTTGTACCATGTCCGCAGTCTCTGGTCATCTCCGGTCATCTCCTGTACCATGTCCGCAGTCTCTGGTCATCTCCTGTACCATGTCCGCAGTCTCTGACCATCTCCTGTACCATTTCCGCAGTCTCTGACCATTTCCTGTACCATTTCCGCAGTCTCTGACCATTTCCTGTACCATTTCCGCAGTCTCTGACCATCTCTTGTACCATGTCTGCAGTCTTTGGTCATATCCTGTACTATGTCCGCAGTCTTGGTCATATCCTGTACTATGTCCGCAGTCTCTGTTCATCCCCTGTACTGTGTCTGCAGTCTCTGGTCATCTCCTGTACTATGTCTGCAGTCCATTGGTTTAGAATATTTTTTTTCTTGTTTTCCTCCTCTAAAATCTAGGTGCGTCTTATGGAGTGAAAAATATGGTAACTCTTTATACAGACACCAAATATTTTTATTAAAAAATATTAGTCATTCCCAAAGTTAGCAATACCAATTATGACTTTAGAATAAACATCTGTAACACACACTCAACAAAGTCAGGTATATCCAGAGATTTACACTACAGTAGTGCTCTTCAAGAGACCGGGGTTCTTTGAGTTCTGCATTCCAAAATATTGTTTAATAATGAAAAGATAAAAATGGTGCAAACCAAATATTTACAGAACAAGTGTATTACAAAAGATATGAAGGAGACAGCAGCAAAACAAAAGGGATGAACAACAAAAAATACTTGTCAAGGCCTGGTCCAACAAGGTACAATCAACAAGCAAGATGGTACAGTGGCTCTCATAAGACTTGACAGATGTTCCTTGTTTGAAGGTACAGGAGAGCTGTCAATTGCAGATGCAGCCCCTCTTTTCTTGTCCATGAGGAGGGTGTTCCCATAAATTATCTGACCAATCAAGAGGCTAAAGAGCTGCCAATGGGAGGTCACAAGTTTATGATCAGGTCACAGATCTAGTTAGAATTATTATTATTATACAGGATTTACATAGCGCCAACAGTTTGTGCAGTGCTTTACAACGTGACGGCAAACAGTACAGTTACAATAAAAAAAGAATCAGAGGGCCCTGCTCGTTAGAGCTTATAATCTAAAAGGGGAAGGTCAAGTGATACAAATGGTAAAAATTGTGGGGGATGAGCTGATGGAGAAAATACATGTACAGTTGTTAGGTGTAGGCAGGATAGGCTTCTCGAAAGAGAAAAGTTTTCAGGGATCATCTTAAAGTGGACAGAGTAGGAGATATTTGGACAAATTAGGGTAGGGAATTCCATAGGATGGAAGAGGCTCAGGAGAAGTCCTGGAGGCGAGCAAGGGAGGAGGGACAAGGGAACTAGAAAGCAAGAGGTCTTGGGAGGAACATAAAGAGTGATTTGGTTGGTATTTTGTGACTAGGTTAGTGATGTAGCTGGGGACCGAGTTGTGGATGGCTTTGTATGTTAGTATTTTGAATTTAATTCCCTGGGTGACTGGCAGCCAATACAGGGAATGGCAGAGAGGGGTTGCAGATAGTGAATGATTGGAAAAGTGGATGAGCCTGGCAGCTACATTTACGATGGACTGAAGAGGGGATAGCCTATGTAAACTTAAGCCAATGAGGAGGGAGTTGCAGAAGTAGAGGCGAGATAACCTGGGAGTGAATTAGGAGCTTTGAGATGTCATTGGTTAGGAAGGGGCATATTTTGGAGATGTGGAGGCTGAGACAGCAAGCTTTGGAAAGTGATTGGATGTGGGGCCGAAAGGAGAGTTCAAAGTCCAGAATTACACCTAGCAACCGGCATGCGGGCATGGGTTGATGGTTGTGCTGTTGATCGTGACAGACAAGTCAGGGGAAGGAGCACTTGGGAGGCGGAAATATTAAGAGCTCAGTTTTGGATAGATTGAGTCTGAGGAAGTGGTGTGACATCTAGACTAATATGTCGGTCAGTAAATGAATGTGTTAGCAGATTGATGTGAGCTGAGGGGTAGAGAGACAGATTTGGGTCTTGCCAGCATAGAAATGATATTGAAAGCCACGGGAGGCTATCTGCTAACCCAGAGAGGAGGTGTAGATTAAGAATAGGAGAGGTCCAAGAACAGAACCTTGGGGGACCCCGACAGAGAAAGGAAGAGGAGAGGAGGAAGTAGGATTATGAGTGATACTAAAGGTGTGGTGGGATAGGTAGGAGGGGGTGGTCAATCATATCAAAGGCAGACGAAGGTCCAGAAGTAGGAGTACAGAATAATGTCCATTGGTTTTAGTTGTTAATAAATCGTTTGCGAGTCTCGAGCAGTTTCTGTGAAGTGTTGAAGGCGAAATCCAGACTGAAGGGTATCAAGAAGGTTGTTCTTAATGAGGTGATCACTCAGTTGGTTGTAGACCAGGTGTTCAAGGAGTTGGAAGAAAAGGGAAGCAAGGCGATGGGGAGTGGGTTGTGAAGATTGGTGGGGTACAAGGAAAACTTTTTAAGTATGGGGGTGACTAGTGCATGTTTTAGGAGGGTTGGGGAAGATGCCAGAAGAGAGGGAGAGATTGGAGATGTGAGTTAGAGTGTAGGATAGAACCAGAGGGTGACCATAGTATTTAAGAAGGAATAGGATCCAGGGGACAGGAGGTTAGGTGGGCGTTAGAAAAACGTTTTGCAACCTAGTCCATAGTAGCGGGTTTGAACAAGGGAAGTGTTGAGTGCATCTGTGGTGTTATGTGGGATGGGGGATATCTGTAGAGTGGAGATTTCATCACAAATTGTATCAATCTTATTTTTTAAGTGATTGGCGATCTCCTGGGCACTAAGTTAGTGGGTGGCGGTGGCTGAGGACGAAGTAGTGAGTTAAAAGGTAAAGAAGAGTTGACAGCGACTAGTGTTAATGAGAGTGATAAAATAGGTCTGCTTGGCAGTATGGAGGCAAGAATTGTATTTTTGGAGGTCAGTTTTCTATTGAATTAAGTCTTTGTGAGACTTAGTCTTACTCCAGACACACGGCTACGATTTTTGAAACTTCTGGTGTTAGTTTGCCAGGGTTGTGGGCGTCAGGGCCTGATTCTGTGTGTAGTAAGGGGGCAAACTCGTCCAGGGCGGAGGACAGGGATCTATTGTAGGCAGAAGTGGCTAGATTGGGGCAGAACAGGGGTGAGATGTCATAGATGTGGTGAGTAGCAGAGTAAAGACGGGTTAAAGTGGCGAAGGTCTCTGAGTAATTGTTAGGTGGTTGGAGGGAGAGGTGCGGGAAAACAGGGAGAGAGAGAAACTAATAAGGCGGTGAACAAAGAGGAAAAAGATAGGTTGAATGGAGTGCATAAGTAGGAGAATACAAAGTTGAGGGTATTGCCATCAGAGTGCATAGAAACATACATCCATTGCTTCAAGTCAAATGAGGAGGTTAGACTAAGAAGAATGTTTGTTTTCTCAGGCCGTATTTTTTCACTATCACTTAGGTTATAGAGGCCTACTGTACCCTGTAGTAGCTTGTTTTCAGGCAAATACTTGAAGAATTTTAGTATTTACTGGATATTACCAGGTTCTCCTTGGGTTACAATTTTCTGTCTCCTACCTGTTTATCTTGTTGCTTAAATGTATTATTTTCCCAAGACATTGGGTCTTGGGTTTGTTTCACTCTTTGTACTGCCGGTATCCTGTTTTACATTCGGCCTCACAATGGCCTGCTTATTTGTATGTTTGTCTGTTTTATTTTTTCTTATGTGCTCCATATTGAAATAAAATCTTTGACAAGAAGTTTAGAAATAGCATGAGTGTTCATGTTAACAGGGATGTTGACGTCGCCGAGAATGATTGTGGGAACTTCAGAAGAAAGAAAGTAGGGTAGCAAGGCAGAGAAGTCATCAAGAAAAGTTGACACTGGTCCTGGGGGCCAGTAGATCACTGCAATTCTTAAAGAAATTGGAGAAAATGGACATACACAGTGAGCTTCAAACAATGAAAGGGACAGAGGGGGGTAGAGTGAGGACAGAGAGGGGGGAGAGTGAAGACCCTGAAAAGTGCTTTGTGGGGATAGGAAGATTCCCACTCCACCTCCCTTGGGTCCACTGGGTCTGGGGGATCGAGTACAGAGAAGACCACAAAGGAAGAAGGAAGCAGGAGAGGCAGTGTGGGATTCATGAAGCCAGGATTCGGTGACCGCAAGTAGATTGAATGCGTTAGTGACAAAGAGGTCATGAACAGAGGTATATTTGCTGCAGACAGAGCGGGCATTCCAGAGGGCACATGAGAAGAGTAGGCTGGTTTTGGGAAGAAGAGGAATGTAAACTAAGTTGTGTGGATTGCAGACACTGAACGGTGCTGCAAAAGTGTACAGAATGATGGGTACGTTGGTCACAATACCTATAGAAAACTGGGCCTTCTTTATGTTACTAATATAATTGAAAATCTATAGATTACAGTCTAATAGTTTGCATATTATTGTCCAGTGGTAAACTACCTTTTAAATGAATATAAATATGAGAGATATTCCACTTAGGGAGCAATTGACCGGATTCTGCTCCAGTACTGGTGTTTGGGCCTAAAATGCTGCTTATTAACTGATAGAGTTAAATATGTCCTTATTCTGGCTCTACTGTTAATATTTCAGTAGCTATGAAATACACATTAAGTTTGGGTTCTTTGCTAATAACCACTCTGACAGGAATGCATATTAGCCAAAGATCAGGGCTAAATGCTTTTACAATATCACTTATCCCTGGTGTGTACTCCTATTATTTTTAATTACCCTGCAAATTATGCGTGACCAAACCAAAAGGTTGTGTTATAGTTTTACTGTGGGGGCCAATTCCCTTAGAGGAAACTGATAACCTTGCCAGATGTTTATTGTTAGCATGTACTTAGTTGATAAGCCAGCCCTAACCAGTGTTATGTACTTCAAGATCTTGTTTATTATTTTCCTGCTAAGTAATGGCCTGCAGAATGGTTTAGGTTTAATCCTGAATTATTTTGAAGTGTCCAGACCCAGAGCCCCTTGTTTACTTAAGATGAACGAAGATGGACGTTTGAAATTATAGCTATATTCTGCAGGGGGGGGGGTGCATTAAGAGCTGCCTGGTCTCTTGTTCGAAACAGAAAACTAAAATAGAATGTCATGGCTGACTTTTTGGGATGCTGAACAACATGGCTGCCCGTTTGGGTTTCCCAGGCACAT